CACGAAAATCTTGTTTTTATACGAATTTGCGCTTTGAAATTCGATGTTTCGACGTTGTAGATTGACTAAACGTGTTTAGTAACTCCAATTGTGTATCCTCGTCGCCAGAATGTAGTGTTTAAGACTCAATAAAACGAGATAAACGCGTGTTATAGTGTTTGTGAACTATATATTGAATACTGATTAGTTATTCCTATTTGGATTAGTTATTAGCATATTAATTAGCTATATTACAGGTGGCTATCATTTTTTTATACAGAAAGGCTCTACAAAAGCTAAATATATTATCAACGCGGTTGGTATTAAACCTTGACTAACCTGTGAGGAACAGGTTTCAATGATTTAGGTAAACGAGGTATAGTTGTTGCTGTAGGGAACACAGTCTCGTCTCTCATTGGTCGATCTGATCTTGGAACAGAATGTGGAGGAAGTGGATTTTCCTTGGAACCATGACCCCAGGCCTTTGGATATTCCTCACATTCCCAGAACGTCGCGTAGTCTTTTTTTGCGTATTCTCCCAGCTCTTGCCTGGGTAGGATAGAGAAGAATATCTTAGACACAACGATCAACAAAATACATACTATTAGCTCATTTAGGTAAGTAAAAAAAGACTATAGTACATGTATACCAAACAATAATTTATCACTGGTATTTTTTCAGTAGGTATCCTTTAACATCCTTCCGGAAAGTACGTCACTTTGGCTTTTGAGCCTCGTTTTCGTATATTTAACAATTAGACAACGAGGCCGAGCTGTCTATGAGCGAATAGTCAACGAGGCGAAGCCGAGTTGACTATTTGCTCATAGACAACGAGGCCGAGTTGTCTACTTGTTTTAGTATAAATTTTAACATTAATTTACAACTAGGCTGCAAACACAATACAAAAATACACAAAAAAACATTATAAAACCATTAAATGTAAACAAATATTTTAGTTTTTGTTCGCGTAAAATGTTTTACAAAATTCAGTTTTAATTTTAAAATTTCATTGAGTGTATGTTATCTTGTCTATTTTCTTACCCTTAAAAATTGCCATTCCATATTTTTGTTGCTTTTTCGGGGTTTTTTAGTACAGAATTGTTCAACAAGTCGTCCGAAAAATCATCAGACACTTCGGCAAAAGTGCAAAACGCGAATTTTCTGCCATTTTGAATTTTCTATTAGGCCAAAAAAAAAAATATGTGGGTTTCCGGTTTCCCGACCCTACCTAGCTTTTGGACGTCGAAATCCCGACCTTAAACTTTTTTATTGGATCATGCTTGTAAGTGTTTCCACTTAGAGGAAAAAGTTTGCAGAAAATTGAAATTTGAGGCAATATTAGGGAAATTTATCTTTGGATGTGGAAGCACTGACTAAACAAAATGGCGTCCGCTTGTTCGGAAAATTAAAAAAAAAGTTAAAAAAAGAAAGTTAAAACCGACCTACCCTACCTAAGTTTTTACAAGAAGAAACCGGAAACCCACATATTTTTTTTTTTTGGCCTTAGTAGGCTATCACTAATAGCCTACTAGTAGCGTAGCCAATCAGAAGCCACGATATGTGATAGCCTACTAGTAGGTTTATACTAAGTGACATTAGTCAAAGCCCATTGTCTCAATCATGAAAACGAGGCTCTATAGCCAATGCGAAGTAGTTTCCGGAAGCCTGTATTGGAAATAGTATGAGGATAGCGCACGTATATATGCTTGATTTAGTGGGCAAATGTTTCTCGCGAAGATTCTTAGGTGCTGTTTGCATGAATCCGGATTGACTTTCAATCCGAAATGAACTCATTCCATTTTAATACAAACCCTATTAAATGTTTACATGAGTCCGGAATGAGTTACAACTCGATCCGGATTGAGTTCGATCGAATCGAGATTTCAATCCAGATCGAAATTTGGCTTCGATTCCATGTAAACACGAATCGAAACTCATTCCGGAATGAGAAAGCGACCGGATAAGATAACATCATGGCTACTTTTCTCTTTCTTAAAATGACTTTTTAAAAATCAGTAGCTTCATGCACGTGTTTAAATGTATTAGCGCGGAAACAGTCGAAAAGAAAATGATATTTACATCATTCGTCATCTTGGAATATATTGCCTTCATATAACTACAGCTGCACTAATTATGATTACATAATAAGAATTTAAGTATAAGAGTGATATAATAGCTTATATTGCAGAACAATGAACTGTCTTAATCTTGACAGTGTTATACATGTACAGTTCCTCGCAGCCTGAACGTCTGGGGAATTTTAGTAGCACTGTATCATGAAACTGTGAAACTTATTACAATATACAAATAAGAACCATGATTAATCAAAGAACAGTTTGGACTTACTTATTAAACCGTCTATGATCACGTTGTGTGGTTGTCAAATACATGTCCCCATGATATGACAAGACGCCGCGGTCTTTTGGATAATACACACGACCTGAAGCTTCCACATTTTGAGTTGATCTCACAAGATCCTACACGAAATGAAATGTATTATTTCAGAAAAACTACATACTGCAATATATATTATTACTTATATATTAATTTCAGTATTCTGTAAGTTACTATAGCAAGGTAGTTTGCGCCTACATATGTCTTCCTTTGGTTTTCCTTTCAGTGACATTCCATTGACTTTGCAAAAATATTCTAACTTGAACATTCTTACAGTCTTGATTAATTTTAATTGGTTGAGAGGAGTACAATTATTTTATTAGTCCAGTTACTAGCTAGCTGCATAATATTATAAATTAATAAATTAATAAATTAGGAATGGGACTTGAACAACATTTTCGAACAAAAATATCCAAAATGGAACAGAACTGTTAATTGTTTCATTTCTTTTTCACAATTTCAGGGGCTTTATTAAATTATTATATATAAAATAATAAATTAAAAATTATATATATATATATATATATATATATATATATATATATATATATATATATATATATATATATATATATATATATATATATATATATACAATTTAATAAGCTCTGCTATATTTAATAAGACAATTTAATAAGCTCTGCTATATTTTTATATATCCAAATAACCAAAAGAAATTGAATTATATACGGTACCTTGCTTGGACCATTAACATGGTGATCATGTAATTTTGGAGGTTGAAATCTTTCATTAAAACGTGTTTCCAACGTGACTTCCGGCTCTCCTTTATATTTGTCTTTCATTTCACTGCTTTGATTCCCCATGGTGAGTGGTCTTCGCCAAGGTTTCACCTTTAGCTGCATGTAGTAGGCAGAAGAAATAAAAGCTTTATTACACGGACAGCTAAATTTTATTCAATAATCTTTGAACTTGAATACAGTAAATTATATTTCAGATCTAACCTGGAACACCGTGGGAAATTGCATTCTTAATAATGTATTTTTGTGCTAGTATCTGAGTGTATGTACAGTATACTTCAGGGGTCGGTTTTTCAAAGGTGGGTACTAAGCGCAAACCCTTTGTTAAAATTTAACTTGCTGTTTTGGTTTGTGCATGTATTTCTGCACATCTGATTATCTCAAGACTTCAGAGATTTAAGAAGTAAACTTCGCGATCAATCTAGACAAGATTTCTGAAGAAACATTTCCAAATTTATAAACAAGCTGTGAGGAAATTTACTTTGAATTAATTAACCTATGGTTAAGCCAATCGTTTTTTGAATAACCTCAATCCCCCAGATATATACTGTACGTCAGATTTTTTTGTACAACTTGTTGTTATCTTGTGGTGGAATCTTGATTAGTTAAAAATTTTGAAAGCAACTATATAGTTCTGAAATGCTATTTCCTATATATTGGGGAACAATTTCCTGGGGCATAGCCCCACTTAAGCCACCCACGTACCCACCAGATGTGAGAAAAACTCCTTATGAGACTAAAACCAACCGTTGAAATAGAATCTTCAACATATTGCACTTTCCATGAACTTGGAGCTTTCTTATACCCTGGTTGCAGCAATGGTGACTCATGAAACTTGTGATCATGCGTTGAACCAGTCGTTGTCACATATGGTGAAGGTTGATGTAATCCTTTGGAAACAGATGGTGGTAACGGTGCTAAAGTTGATCGCTGAAAAAAAGGCATGTACTGTACTTAATGAGATGCCGTGTCTTCAAAGGGTGTAACACTATGGACAGTGTCACTGAATCTATTTTGAAATGAACAATATTCATCACTGGAATATTATACAGGCTGGGGCTATCTTCTGAAATACAAATCCATTAGTTATTAAATAATTAGTCTTCCATATAGCCACAACCATTTTCATTAGGCGTAAAAAAAAATACCTGTGGTTCTGGTTCCCGACCGACCCTATTTTTTTCTGCCGACCCTATTATTTTTTCAACATGATTGACTGTGCAACCCTATTTTCTCCGGGTGGTTGCGGGCTGCAGCCAAAATGGCATGTGTTGTCACAGTAATTATTGAAAAAACCATGAAAAAAATATTAAAAAAAAAAAATTATTTCCGACCTACCGACCCTAATTTTTTCGCGATATGAAACCGGAACCACAGGTATTTTTAACACACTCAGTAAATTTGAGCACTTTCATAGGGAGGCAAGTGGAAGAAATAAAAATCTTGTAATTGTCAGCCTAATTTGCATGCAAATTAAGAAACTCGGTGCTTTCAAGTTGACTATACCAAATGGGGTTGGTGTTTCAGGTGATCTATTTCCTTCCTAAAACAGAAAGAGGCAACCCTTTAAGCAGCAAGGTTGTAAATTGGTAAATTGTGCTGTGTTAGTGTTAACTTAGTTTGTACTTTACTACAATCATGTCATGGCAACCCTATGGCTAGGGTTTACCAGTAGCAGTAATGGCCTATAACATTCACCCCGGGCCCCCGGCTAACCTAACCGCCACTGACAACAAAGTCGCCAGTGTGAGCTAGTCAAACCATAGCCTGCGTGGCAGGCCCTCAATTTTATGGGGGGGCCTGATTTGCAGCGGGCAGGATTTTGCGGGCTCCGGGGGAGGATTCAGGGCCTGCAGGAAAGCCGGCACCTTTCATGACTACATGCCCAGTCATAACATAATTAATGGTTTCTAAAATTAGAAAGCTGTTAGAAAGTTGATAAGTATCAAGATTAGAAAGTTGATAAGCAACAATATTGAAAACAACAAATACTACGGTTTTTCACTGTCTTGGTATTGACCAATCAGGTGATCATATTCACCGTTCAGAATCTGAACGGCGTGTAGTCATGAAAGGTGGGCTTTCCTGCAGGCCCTCAATCCTCCCCCGGAGCCCGCCAAAATCCTACCTACTGCAAATCAGGCCCCCCATAAAATTGAGGGCCTGCCACGCAGGCTAGTCAAACCATGCCACGCAGGCTAGTCAAACCATGCCACTGTGCCTAATACTGCAGAAACAATTTGCAGGTAACTCTATCTGCACCGACTATTTTTAACCCTCTTGGCATGGCAGTCTGGTTACTATGTAGGTAAAGCCTCGGTCAAACGAGGATGAGAGTTGATAAGAGTTGATGATACTGTAGTTGCAACTCTCGTTCGTGTTAAAACTGGTTCAAATTATGAGAGTTGATATACGAATTATCACTATGCATGTAGTGATATCCAGTCAACTCTCATCAACTCTCGGGCAGCTGTTTTTCTCGTTGGACTGAGGCATAATTTCTAAAATGTTCTGTTGAAAGACAAAAGTTGCAATTTATCTTAGTTGAAAACCCCCATCAATATAAATTATGACAAAGAGGGGCCATCAATTCCTCCCCCTTACATGTTACATCAGTTCTATTTGATGAACGGAACGTTACTGGCAAACTAAGACAGGAAAACGCTAAATCAACGCTGTTCAGTTAAAGTGTGGTTACCTTGAAGTTGCTAGCAGGAAATTCGAAG